GCAAAAGACGATACGAAAAACCCCTCCACCAGGGCACCTTCGTGACACAGGGCATACAAAGATACATCAACTTAAAATTCTATAAGCATTTGAACCACCTCAGTGAACCAGTGTAACCATAGTTACTCTTATTTACACTTTTCCTCATTCAAACAAATTAAGAAAGAATTGTATTTTCTAATTTATTATCATAACTTAGAAAACATAATCATTTAGTCTTTCCATCTAGTGGGAGTGAAAATGTTCCTTTGTATTGCTTCTACTAGCTGAGCTGATTTTATTGATTTATGTCACCATTGCAGCAAAACCTGACATCACTGGCCACAAGCGAAGTGAAAACAAAAACGAGGGGGAAAACGCCATGCTTTACTGCAAGTCTGTCGGTTACCCCCATCCCACTTGGACATGGCGAAAAGTGGATGGAACCTCTTACAAGGTAAACAACGAATGAAAAACACACACGGATAACAACTGATGCTCTAAACAGTTGTGTTGCAGTGTCATTTACTTGACAAACATTGTGTTTCAGGATATTGACAACTCAACTGGACGTTTCTTCATCACTAACAGAGACAACTACACAGAGCTCAACATACTGAATCTGGATATAAACACAGATCCTGGAATATATGAATGCAATGCCACCAACGTGATTGGAAACACTACTGAGACCACTATACTACGAGTGCGCAGCTATCTGGCACCACTTTGGCCTTTCCTGGGAGTGCTGGCCGAAATTATTATCCTAGTAGTCATTATAGTCGTGTATGAGAAACGCAAGAGGCCAGATGACTTCATCGATGGTAAGAAAATGTTCTTACAATAACAATAGTAGTTTAGTGCTATCCAGTTAATTGTGTTTAAAATCTACTAAACACTCACTTGAAACCATGACATAGATGTTTTTGTTAACTGTTTCGACCTTTGCTTCAAAAGTATCGAAATATTCTTAAACATCAGGTTAAAAAAAGTGTTTGTATACGGTTAGCTTCAACCAAGTAATGGGAATGCTTCGTGATGCACGTTTTCACCAGAAGGCTGAATCCACTCTCAGGAGACACCTTGAATGACTCACAGACTATCAAAGGATTTGCTTTCCGCTCACAGGTTCAACAAAAGGAGAACAGAGACATGGTCACACACGAGCCACATATTAGATGCATGCAAATATGACCTTTATAGATGCATATTAGGTAGCCGAGGGGGCCACACCTCACCCTTCCAAAAGTTGACTATTTGTATCTGAACTCACATTGAAAACATGAGCTTTGTGTTTTATGGCAGAGTTGGAGTATCCATAAACATGTTGGGTTAGCAGTCTGTATTGAAGCTTTCAGAAGATTTCAGTCCCAATATGTAACTTAATTGGTTGCTATTCTTTTCCCTCCCCCTTTTTCCAAATGGCAACATTATCTAAATGGGTGGTAAGTGAGAGATCCTGCATGGTTATGAAGATTTTTTTTTCCTTTCTGTCATTTTGTATGTGTTTACAAGCCAGCAGCCCATTCCAAAACCCTTCAATCTTCAACGAGATGTTGTTCAGATATCTGAAGACCTTGAAAACCTGACTGATTGTTTTAAAATTCATGAATTTGAAATCAAAGCATCTGTTTTTCCACATTTGAAACCATTATATATGTTCCCCTATACTAAATTAACTGTAATCCCTGTAACACTCACATTCCATCTGTTGTTGAAAAGATATATACTTGACCTTGAATTGTAGATCATGCTGAGTGTTTCACAAATAATCCAAATTAAAAACGCAGGCCAGTATCCACTTCAATTTCTTGTTTGTTTAAAATTGTTTTCTTACTTATGGCATGGAAAATGTATGCTCCTTTGCATATTATAGCATTGGATTGCATCAACAAACTGCACGTAAGGGACAACAAATGAACAAATCTGGCTCCGCAATAGTAAGTCGCTAAAAACTGGTTGGTTTTCAACTCTTTTATTTATATCCCTATATTTTCAAATGCGATAAGAAATGAGGCAGCATGTTTATACCGTTAAGTGGCGCTGTAGATGATCTGCTTCCTCTGACAGGCTGTGCTCGTGTTTGCACCTCTCATCAGACACTCACAGCACAGCCCCACCCACTCTCCCTCCTACTGAAACAGCAACCAAGCCACACACTCACTCACTCACTCACTCACTCACAATGTCCCCCAGCCATTGCTGACATGGCAACTTTTCTTTTTTTTTTTTCAAGCCTTTCACAATAAATCTTACAATGTTTTCAGACAAATGGAAGTACCGGTAACTTTTCTCTTGAGGAGTCTTAAAAATATCCTCACAGAGCTTGACAACTTCTTTTCTGGCAGCCCATCTCTCTTTCCTGCTCAGCCAGTGGCAGCAGCTGACAGCACCATGATGTGGAAAAGTACATCCCTATTGTGTACAGCTATTTTGTCTAAAAATATACAGGTTGTTGTGAATGAGGCCCCCTTTACTACAGACTACACAACCCTCATTTATACAGTCGTAGACTAAGATGATATACTAAATTGAACATGCTCATAGGAAGCAAATCAACCTCCAATAAGCTCCAGTGTGATTCAGTGGTGCCAGCTACCTGGATACGTCCCGTGGTAGCGCCATGTGCAAAGACTACAGCTCCTTGATGCAGATGGTCCCGTTTCTTGTCCAAACTCAGAGCACCCACTCCTGATGAGCAACTTTCAAAAAAAGCAATGATGTAAATGAATTAGAATTGAGATTCAGACAAGATGTTACTCCATTTATTTTTAACTATAATTCTGCGTGACATTTTGAATGTATCAAACATTACAGGTGATCCACAGTAGTATGTCTTGAGGTTTCCCAGTCAAGTTATTTTCACAAGTGTAAGTCTAATTTAGAGTCACAACTAATATTTCAAAATGTCTGTTTCTGCTTTCATTTATTCTGCCAAACAAAAAAAGTATGGATGCAGTTTTAAACTATAATCTGTACTTAACTATAAAGTCTACACATGGGATACATCAATGCTATTTCTAATTAGAATGTTATTACATAATCAGTGTTTCTGATCTTTTATACTTTTAAGTGATTAAAAAAATTAAAGCATGATAACTATCATTATATTTTCCTAAAATACACTGACATACACTCCACTAAGGCTTGAGTAGACTCTGTGCTTTGCCTCTAGTTTGGTTCATCTACCAAAAAAAATGAAGCGATTAAGGTAGATTAGATTTCCTGTGTTTATGCCATTCAAAGCAGGATTGAGGTCTCCCAGCTCCCGATGAACAGCCTTTCCCAAATCTCCTTTTAACGTCCCCTGTTCCCAGAGGTTTTGTCCCCTGTCTGCGTGTGTTATAAATGATGGTCTCTTGATATTTTAGCTGTGTTGGAACACTTTCTAACTCTACAGCCTAAAGCTCTGCTGCAGAGGCTGACATTTCTATCTTGTCTCTCAAATCACATTATGAAAATGACAGACTGTGTTTGCTGTGTGACGACTCACTTAATAACTGAACTTGATGTGAAAAGACCAAATGTTAAACATGTTAATCATACTGAGCTATAACATGAAACCCCAAGTGATGCATTCACTTTATCTGCTGCAGCCATCATGTTAAACTGTCTCACACAGTAAAAAACTGCTATATGTTAATGTGCTTCAAATCAGTGCGATATGCTGAAGGATGTTTGGGCTCTTTGCAGAACCATTCTTTTTTGTCTGCCATAATCTCATTTTAATGCCATGGAATGCTGCTAATGCTGCTTATCCCGGACTAATAACTGCATGGAAAATATCTCACTGTGACTGGTAACTTACCTGTTGACGCACTTCATCTGTTTTTCAACACTACCCACCCTATCAACCCCAGGGCCGAGGGGTTTAAAACTAACTTTTCTCCAGTGCAACAGTATCCACCAATTAATGCTCCCACATGTTTTATTGTAATTGTGACGTTTACTGCACTGACCTGTTGTGAAAATGAGTGACAGCTTTACATGTTTGTCCCTCTGAGATAATTAATATTTATTGTAGGAGGCAGCTGTCATGACTATGCATTTAAATTATAATGAAGTCGCTTCATTTGATCCATCAGTGTGAAAATGCAGACTGTAATTAAAAGAGGACCGTAAGTGAGCCATCTGTAAGTCTCCTACACATGTGCTCTATTTGCAAATCACAGGAACCCTATGATATACAGATGGCATATGAAGCTAAGTTTACCACCTCCGGGTTTAAGTCTACTCTTACAATAACAACTACTTGTTTTTTTTTTACATTTCCGCTCAAAGCCAACACAACAGTGTTCACTAACTTCCCCCCTGTGTTTGCCGGGGTTATGAAAATTGATTGTCACCCAAGAAATACGTCATAGCCACACAGAGAAAAAAGGAAGTGGTGAAAACAGTAATGTATATGGTATTCACTGTAGTTGTGCAGAAACAGGAAACACGGGGATTGTCTTATTATCTATTTATTCCATTTCTGACATTTGACCTATTTGCTCTATTTTTGTCTTGTTTCTTCCTATGTCAAAGATGATGAACCAGTTGGACCCATGTAAGTAGCCACACACTGATATTATACATTAAAATTTATAGAAATTGGTTCTTTTGAATGGTCACCTTTCAACTTACTGTCATATCTACTTCTTTTCTAGGAAGACAAATTCAACAAATAATCACAAGGACAAAAATATTCGTCAGAGGAATACAAAATAGGCAATTTACTCAAGTAAGATACTGTTGTAAGGGATTGGGGGTTTCTAAATATAGAATTCACTGCGAGGATAATCCATAGTCACGCCTTCTCTTGATTTTTCTCTCCACAGATGAGCCGACTAAACTGCATTTTTTGACTATATGAAAGTATCAAAGATTGATTGAGATCCAGGCAGTTTTGGGAAAAAAGCATATCTTGTCTCATTTTATGAGAAACAATATCAGCATAACACTGGCAACAAAGAGAACATATTGGCTGTCTTAAGCATGCCTTATTCAGTCTTACGTGGAGATTTCAGGATGATGAATAATGACCACCACAAAGGTGTACACATTTTCAATGTACTGTTGATGTCTCCTTTAATAATTTTATCATATCCTCGAAAGAGGTGATCCCTTTTGTATTACATATCATGTACAATGCATGCAAGATAATTACGCAATAGGATACTCAGAATAGAAATTTTCTGTTGTTATCCCTCGTGTGGCTTTTTTTGCATCCAAAATGACCTATTGTTTATTTGTATGGAGTCATCCTCATACATACTGTGTACACACATGTGTGTATATATATATATATATATATATATATATATATGTGTGTGTGTGCATACATACATATGTATGATTTGTTTTTATTGTTGAAAATTTGTACAGCATATCATTGTCATTGAACTATTTCATTTGTGACAAGAAGTCTACTTTTAACTGAACTTTCATTGTGAAGCAAGGGCTTCAGTGACTGGCAGTATTCAAATTTAATTGAGAGTGCTTAAAGAAAATGACTACAGTGTGTTTAACTATCTGAACAAAAAGGATATGTGTATTATTTATATTTTCTTTCCAGAGTATCTTAGGTGTCTTGTATATGTTGAAGTATGAGTGTTTAAATGATAGGAAATCTGTAAAAAAAAAAAAGATATTTTTTTTATATTTCCCAATTTCATTAATCAATTTTTATTTTATTTTCTCTTTACTGTATAGCATGGCTATAATCCTATGCAATATGTATTCTTAAATAGATATATGGAGGGCAGTTTGTTTTACTCAGTGAAGCTTTAATATTGTGGGATCACTTGGAAGCTGACATAGCGAAATTCACTGCTGTAGCTGCATGACTCCTCTTTCAATACAATGTATCCATGTGTGTTGCGGTGGAAATGGATCTGTGTTAAGGTTGGGAACGGAGGGACCAGAGTATATAGCCACGATCAAACATGAGTGAGACCAATTTTTTTTTCTGAATAAAAAAATGTGACAAATCAAAATGTCATTGTTTTTCTTTGTTAATTTTGGGGCAATTCCCTAAAAATTCAAAACCAGTGAAAGTATTCTCTTTAAGCCATGTATTATGACAAATAATATGCTATAACATTCCAGAGAACATTGTAAGCATGGCCAGAAACACCTCACCACCAAGAGCCACTGCCTACACAAACTGTAAGAGAGAACAGAAAAAAAAAGGAAAAATACACAGAACCGACTTGACCTTTCTGCCTTCGGCTATTGTTGAAGCCTCTTCACTCTTCGAGCAGTTTCCTTAGCTCCCCCTCTATCTTTTCAACAAACGCATGGAAGCTGGGATCCATCAGACAGGCACGGAGGATAGCCTCCAAATCACCTTCTGCCAAGGAGCTGTCATGATATATTTGAGGGAGAACCAGGGTGTTCTCTCCTAAGAAGTGCTGTGGGAAGGAAACAGAATATTTCACTCAATTCCAAAGATAATAATGTATTAACTTACCTATATCCACATGAATAGTTTAAGTAAACTAAAATGACAGCCACATGCCTTTGAGAAAAAATGCTTCCTTGATGAGATTGACACAAACATTGAAGATGCATATACAGTGGCTGGTCAATTGTAAAACAGATAATTTACTGTTTAATACATGTGAATTTTAACATTTAGTACCTGAGCAAGACTCTTGATAGACACAGACCCTTGGACAACCTCAGGCTCAGTCCCTGCAGTCTTTTGCTGGGAGAGGATGACGTAAAATGAGAGGCAATAAAAAGAAAGATTTGACAGACACGGCATGAAAGCACAGTGTTGAGAGACCAATCAATGGCTTAATTACTAATTGAAAATTTTCCACCCTTCAAAGTCCTTTCATCTTCACTGTGAACTCCTTCAGTGTGTAAGTCCCCTAAAGGTCAAATTCAACCCCATGGCAGAGTCCATTCCTTTCCCAGTCTTACCTGTTTAATGTTGTCAAGCCCATAAGAGTTGGGTTTAAGTTTAGCTCTGAATCAAATGTGACCACTGCGATAAAGCAGAAGTGAATTGTTGAATGATTTTATGTCTAGAATGCACACACAAGTCGATCACAGAGAACACATTTCAATGGTTGAGATGCTTCCATGTGATGTTACACCAACAGAATTCTCAATTTTTGGGACACGAATGTTGCCTTATATTCAAAATATGCAATATAAAGAACAGAGAATTCCCAAAAGCTTGAGGGCTACCCCAGTCTAATTATAGCACTTTCTTTTTGTACAGTAGTGATGTTATTGTTAAATGTTCCTGTCTGTGACTCAGCTTTTTTTTTGGGGGGGGGGTGCAATGTATAGTACTCTAGTCAAGCCAAGTCCTTTGCTGAAATTGGCTAATGATTCATGTACATTGGAAAGTCAATCTCACTCCCCCTGCTGTAGCTGGAATGTCACCTCTAGGAGTGAGACATTGTTGTAGATAGCACCATCTAGTGACAGCATGTGGCAACTGTTGTTAAGTTGACCACTATACTAAGACGGTGCTGTGATAATCAAGAAATGTATTTTAGTTAACTCAAACTTGAACATTTTACACATAGCTCATTAATTAAGTCACAAAATATCTTTCCCTAAACAAAGAAAGTACATATAATAATTGATCTACCGTCATCTTAAAATTACCACCTTTGTGCTATGCTTCTTTTGGTCATTTCAATAGGTGACACCTTTTGTGTGCAAAGGAGTACGTGTGGTAGCACCAGTTTCAATACAAAATTACTATTTACTAGCTAGGATAGTTGACTCTGAATGGCATAGAGTGACTATGTGGAATGAAAGGGTGATTTTTTACTATTTATTGAGACATAAACTTGGCAACCTGCGTGACAGGTGGAGGGATCTCAGCGGGGGGCTGATTTGGGTGGGTTGAGGCATCATCCAGAGTGGTGACAGGAACATACTCCCTCAGTTTTTCTGCAGCACTCAAACACTCATTTATGGCCTCTGCCCTGCTACTTCCATCAAACTGCATCCTTATCATGCGGGTTTCTCCCTGTAGAATTCCACAAAAACAACATACTGTCAATCATGAGTGAAAAACAGTGTTGTTTTTTAAACTTTCTGTAATCAGCCTCTTTGGAAAAAAAAGAAGGTTGTGCATACAAGCAGTGCTCTAGATTAAAAGATTGTAACAAAACATTTTTATTTTCATCATCGTCAATATAAGTGTTCAGTTTGCAATGGCTGAAAGAATATCATGGTTGTAATCACACAGGAATTTGAACATATTAAGATGGACTTTGATATCCTCATCAAAATGCATCAAATGGCTCACCTTCACTGTAAACCGGAGCATCAGGTTATCAGACTTCTGTTGCACGTTCAAAGAATTTAAGAGCAAAGGGACTGTATCCTGAAAAGTGAAAACAAGAATAAACATCTTGAGAAAGACTTGGCAAATTTGAATGAAAAAGGGAAATTCTTCTTTTGACAAAACCAAATCAAAGACAGATTTATTTTTTACTTATTGTGAAAAACTTCTCGATCAATCCGAAGGGCAAAAAATGCTCTTTTCAACAAAAGCTAGCAATAGCCTCAGTGTTTTCTTGAATGTTCATTTTGACTCTCAGAGTGATGAGTCAGCTGTTATATGGATGCTGAGGTTAGTCTGTGGGTAGATTAGACTTTCACACAACAAAAATTTAGAAAAATACAAAAGACTGAAGACATTTGAGACAAAAAAATGGTTTTTGTTCTGTCCAATAGTGAACTGAAAAAAAAAAAAAGTATTCGATTACCTTACTGATACCTTGATTCCTTTCTAAATGTTCAGGAAATTCCACACATTTTATTGTGGCACTATCAAAACATATAGGTTTAACGTATTCATCTTAAAATTTCCCCAGCATCCTCTGCTCTGGTCTATGATATATAGCTCTCTTTGGTGCAACCTGACTATAGACCGACTCGTCAACCTGGCACAGCAAGATAGCTGTGCTTCCTGCCAGAACACTATTAATCAAACATTTGAGTGGCCTCTCAAATCTCTGTTGTCTGCGGGCAAGAAGAAACTTTCTCTGTCTGAGTGCCACAATAACTAGTACAAATCAAAGTGATACCGCTGTGATGAAAGATGAAAGGCTACCTATCACTTCAACAAAAATCTGAAGGGGACTTAAGTATTTTCTTGCCCTCACTGCCCATAGAATTAGGATTTGATTCAAGTACTTTCAAGCAACTGCTCCAGTAAATTGGACAACAAAATTTAGTTGATAAGTCCCAAAAAATAGAAATGTACTTTAAAGACTGTACATCTTCAAACTTAAATGAAAGGTAATTTACAAACAGGCTGTGAAATTAAGCATAAGAAATACCAAAAGAGAAGAAATTAAAGAAGCCTTTTATTTTTGTTCCGTTTTGCTTGGTCTGTAACTAAGTCAGCCTGAGAATGCTTAGCTTGACCCATTTGAAGAATGATGCCAAATACCACGAGAATATTTCATATCGCCTGAAATATCAAAAGTAGATTTTTATTTACATTCACTCAAAGGGATTTTACAACTTTAGATTTTTTTTTTTTTTTGCAAAAAAATTGGAATTAGAAATGACAACAAAATACATTTTCACAAGATCCAACATGAGAAAGCATAGCCAAAGTGAAGCAGCCATGATATGGTTATAAATGTACTCAGATTCAATGTTGCCTCTTTGACTGGAGGGATGGCAGTAACCTCTCTAGAATGCAAATTCAAAGTGTCAGAGCATGACACACAGAAATGCAGCCTTAAATGAGTTTCAACAACCCCCCCTCCATAGTTGTAATCTATTCTGTGAGCCAGAAAACATAATAAAAACACATAATGCAATGCCTTTGCAATGCAGTTTCAAGAATTTGTAACTCTTACAGACCGAACTTCAAACGTCAAGAGCTGGTGAACATGGATGAGTCGGTGTGTCCTGCAGAGAAGCTACTGTAGACTTTAACTGTGTGCAGCCAAAATAGAAAAATAAATCCGGCTGCAAAAAAACAATAACAAAGGTTTTTCTTTTCAAGTGAAAACCGAATGAAAATTAATTAGCTTCAAAGTGAGATCCGTTGTGATCCTGCTCTAAAGGGTGAGGTACATTCAATATCCTTATAAAAACGATGTATTAAACCCTGTTCCAGGAGCATTCGCATACCACAAAAGCAGTCCATGGAAACACAGAAAACAAATAAACAACCATCAAACCACACAGTGTCTTTACCAAGCTTTCTTGTCCTTGCACTATCAGTAAGCATCCAGATTCCAATACGGTGAGGACAACTTCAGGTTTATTACCCTTTTCTTCAAAAATCTGGTGGATACAAAAACAAAGGTATGTAAAGTAGTATTTAGTTTAGACAATTATTTGTCAGGCATTTTTGCGTGAGAGTGGGGAATGTTAAATCCTTATGTGGGTAATCTTTACACTTTAAAATAATTATGCTGACCATTTGTATGACTTTGAAGACATTATTTGTGCTTAGGAACCCCTCAGTTAATAAGGTATTGTTGATGTATAATTATGCGGTTTAAAATGTCCTTCAAAAAAGAATGTTCACCAACAATAAACTCCTGAATATCCAGGATGAGGCTTATAATTAAAAATAGCACAGATAGCATCTTGTAATTCCATCCACAAAATTGCCATGAACTCTATATTTCACCCTGAAATGTTTATGGGGAGACTGTAATTTCCTGTTAGTCCATTCCCCATAAATTGTTAGTGTATGTATTTCATTCAAAGAATCACATGGCAGTATATAGTAAACACAGCTATGCTGCTTTTAGAGATGCATTTCCTCAGCCTCACATTAAATTTATAGCTCTAGTTTGCCATCTAGAGACTGACATAGTTGTAAAATTGTCCTGTTGAAATAACATATCCTATTACTACTTTTATATTCAGACTCTGGCATAAATAAAACTTGGTGGCTAGGGCAATCATTTATTTTTTACGAAGACATTTAAAAAACAAAACGGGGCTTTGTCGTGATACGTCACTTCTGGTTCGCCCTATGAAATAGAGGATCAAATCCGGGAAGCTCCCCCTTACGGAAGACTGAAATGCCCTGAGTCTTAATTAAGCCACAATTTATTTAAATTCAAATATCACTCCAATAGAGACTACAATACATTAAAACAAACAATGTTATGATAATCATGAACATACAATGTGTGTAAAAATAGCTGATCAAATATTGAACCCTCATTAAAGCAAAAAGCCTTAATGAGCGGGTCTTCTCTGGAGGCGTTTAATAGAAATGAGAGGTGGGCGGATGGCCATGAGACGCAAACTCGATTGGCTGTTGCAAGCAGGTGAGTCCTTATTAAAATCAATCAGATTTAAACATTTGCATAATGTTTGCATACGTGTTTAGGTCCAAAACAGTGGTTTAATGGCCTTTCAGCTGCGGCAGTGACTGTTAGCTGACAGCTAACTACGTATGTCCAGCTTTGCAAACTTCACCTTAGCTAGCTAACGTAATAATGCAACTCTCGGTTACCTTCCAAGGCTTCCCTACTGTTTCTGTAGAGCGCGGGACGAAACGCCCATATCGTTTTAACTTCCAGGTCTTTCCGGAAGCCATTTCCAGATGACAGACTCTGTTGAAAGTTTCTGAAAGCTAAAGTGGAGTTAACTTCAGGCCGGAGATGATTTGTATGTTCGCGCGCGAGGCAAACGCTCTTCTTCTCTCATAAAAAGTGCAGCTCGCGCCATCCACTCAACCACGAAGAAACAAAAACGGGAGGAAGCACTGTGGAACTGTAGTTTAGGTATAATCTTGTTGCTTTCACTGGTCTTTGCGGCAGTTTAATTTGGTGAATGGGTCAGTTTTGTAACTGACAATAAATTTGGTATTTTTTTCTTGTGGTCACAAGTTGTTTATTTTCTGTTTTTTGGGTGCCAGTTGCAGTGGTGCTTGGCTACAGAGTTCCATAAATGCGATTATCTTCCTCGTTTACTGACAATTAGACAGATTGTTAAACAAATAGGTTGTTCGTGGTTGAAATGGATAGTATAATTTCGACATGTTGTGGTTATCTGAAAGCATTTTGGGCACTGACAGCATGCTGCTCTGTTTAATCCTAATGCTATCTTGGGGCTGCACTGGGTTGTCATTATATTTAGCAACCTGTGGGGCATTCTTCTTTGTGTAATCAGTAATGGGCTCCAGAGTTATCTCCAGCATGGAGCCATCCCTCTTACTAGCATGGTAACAGACACAACTTAGTCGAGCAATATTGAGTTACAGCCCAAGTTTTTATTTTTTTTTTTATGCATGCAGATGATGGAATGCAGAGCCACTGACTGCAGCATATCAGAAGCCACACAGCTGTGAACTCCCCCACTGTGAATAAAACAAATCTTTGTAGGAGATCTTGTGTGAATTTACCACACAGATGTTGTCTTTAAGTTGCTTAAGGGGCGATTTATTTTTGATTTTTTTTGTCTAATGAAATTGGATTTATTACAGCCTGAAAAATGCTTCAACAACGAGACGACACATAGTTGACAACAGGGATGCTTTTCAGTTACAATTTCTGTTTATGTTGATTGGTTTAAGTACTCAAATATGTTAATTCAGCTTCTTTTTTTTACCATAATGTAGGACCTTTGCTTTCACTTGTCTGCTCTTTCCCTTTCTGTAGACACCCCTGTGTTGCATATGCATCTCTGACAGTTTTACAGAAGAACAATTGGGTCTTCTCTCCTCAGATTGACTCTTTCTGGTTTGGGACCATTTTCCTAACTGGCTCACTCTTCCTCAGCAACACACTCCACAGCTACAGTCATCTGACGGGACTGAGTTTTACTGGAAGTCTGAGTTGTTCAGAGTGGAAAGATGTGAGGCATTGTGGAGGTACCCTGATATGTTTTGAGGCTGGATTGTTTTTTAGAAAGCATTGGGGAAATCAAAGGGGGTGATCTTCACATTTCTACTTTGTCTTTTGTTCACATGACAGTTGGCTGTCTGATAGGTGATATGAATTAACACCAACCAAAAGCTAAGAAAGCGTGTGTGGTGGATCCTGACAGATGTTGACTCCTGAAATGAGACAATAACTTCCTTCCAAAATGCCTGTGTGATGTGGGATGTTTCGTTTTATCAAGGAGGGTACAAAAGGATTGGCCTTTTTTCACTGACAATGCTCTTAATTCTTCTGTAACATTAAGTTACTCCATGCATTCCCACATATACCACTTTGACAAATTCCCTCTGTCCATCTTTTTTGAGGGTGTTTGTTTGAATGTAACCATTGGATTTTAAGGGATTTTTTAATTACATTATCATTATTATAAATTCATAAGATGATCCCCCACGGTCACTGCTTTTTTGGTCGTTGATTAATGTGTTTTGTTTGATGACTTCAAGAGCATCATTATTTTCTCTTGTCTTTTGTCTTTTTTGTTATTGTTTAATTTGATTGATTGAGATGATTCACTGATGGCTTTACTCTCAGTAAACTGATTTGAATTTGAACACAAAATAAGATCAAATTCCATTCATTCAGAAAGTAAGCTGCATTGACAAACTGCTAATGGATTAGTTTATATATTTATGTTTTTAATTACTATACATTTCATTCAGGAAACAGGTTAACAAGTGCAATGCTCGTTGAATGTTTGGGCACTATGAATCATTAAAAATGCCTGTTACATACAACATTTGACTTCAGGTAGACAAATGTTACATTTTTAGGTGCATCGAAGGCATGCCCATGAACATTTATTTGGTTCACTCTTTGCAGCCATGCAGACTGGGGCTGTCAGTGTCCCTGATTTGATTGTCAGACCTGAGGCTGAGAAAATACCTATCATAGCAGCAACCAAACGGTGTTAAACAATGTATAACTGATTTTTATTAACAAAGCCTGTCTAGATTTTGAGTCCGACCATTTTAAATTCCGACCATTGTGAGCCTTGATGGTGCTAAGCACAGCTTTGCCGCCTTGTTGAGCTGTATTGGTCAGGAATATGTCAGTCATACCTGGAAAGGAAAATAAACAAGTAAAGCAATAGGTTTCATCCCATATTCCATAAATATGCTTCTCACTTAAAATGCACATCCAGAGAGAACTCCTCATAATGCCTTTGTATACTTGCTGAAATGACCTTTTACTTGAAATCTGTAAATAATTTAACTCCATTATTATAGCCATTGATAATGATTGATTTTGATTTAATTCACGTTCCACGCTTTTATGTATTTGATGTATTTTTATGTATTTTTGAAACTCAACTAAAATACTTGAGCTAATATGAACACATTGCCCTCTTGTGGACAGTCCTGGGATTGCAGTACATCTACACAGACTTAATTTGCTGTTTTGAGCCACTAGAACAGCATCGAGTGCTGTTTTTAATTGACCTCGCAATTATCGATTTCAGCACAAAGAAATGCTTCCACTCAGGGTTTTTGTAGCTTCCTGGATTGTTTTGTTTCCAGTATCTCAGACAATGTCTATTTTTCAATTTTCATTTTCTTCTTTTTGTGGTATTCACAAGGTCTTTACTAACAGGCTGCATGAAACCGGGTGGCAAAGACATGTTTATCATTGGTTTAATAACGTACTGAGATGCTGAGATCATGAGGTAAATATGCAGTTCCTTCATTTCTGCTGCCACTATGGCACATTTGGATGTGGGTATTTATTGATGATTTGGGCCCCCACGCAGTGATAAATCCATTACAGGTATTACAGGTTTATTTAGGAACAAGTTGAAGGAGTAGAAGTTGAAGCAACACGTTGGAACTGAGTGTGAAGGGTCTGTTTGAGGTTAAACTTTCACTCTTCTGTGTGAATGACGTACAGGCTCAGAATCCAGGACACGCTGTCATTCACAATGATCAAATAGCCGTTGACGACCAAGAATGGTTTGTATTTAATGCAAAAACTGCTAAGAAAAATGGTCAGATTAATATTTGGAGAGAATACTCAACTCTTTTAAAACCTGACACCTCGTCTTCATGTTCAATGTGAAAATCCCGCACATTCGCTCGTACAATGATCAGCTTTGGCGTTATAAATGTTAATACGAAAGTGGAAAGACAATGTAATGTTAAAATGGAGCGTGTTGCCGTTTTTTAAGCGCCTTAAACAACAATATCATCAACACATCTGAACGATCCCGGTAACCTCAGCTGGAATTGTGTGCGTAAATTACGCAAGAGATTAGAGCGAAAAGGAGGATGGAAGACGAACCACTTGACTTCTCCATGTGAAGCCCTCCTCAGGGTTTAACGATGAGCTTTGCCTTGCTACCTGTAGCCCTAACTTAAGGAAACGGGGTGGCGTTTTAAGAATGGGAAGAGCATTCCCCTTTAAACAAGGTGGGCTGAGCTTATTTGCACTTCTCGCTCCTATGGCAACCCAATAGATCAGCATCATGAATATTCACAATTCACCTAAACGCACCCTGACCATGGATCAGTGATGTCAGCGCTCCCTGGAATGCTCTACTGTATTTTGCGCGAGTGTCTGGTTTTGTTTGAAGGCAACTGGCAGGGGATCTGGTGAGAGGAGCATCCCTCGTCGCGCATGAGCTTCACTTGGTCTCCACATCGCCGTCCGTCGGCACGTCTCTCACATGTCACGCAAAGGTGACTTTCAAGCAGTTTTTTCCACTTTGCGCACAATGTCGGAGCGGCACAAAGATGCACACCGAGGACGCAGTGGCCAAGCGGAGCGCCCGGGCTGCGCGTGAGGGCATATGCAAACTGTCAGGTAGTCTAATTATGAGAGCCAGCGTCTCTCATCTGTTTCAGCGGAGCCGCGGCGGTGCATGTCATGTGTAGCAGGCTTTCAGGGATTCAGATTAGCTCCAGACTGATCGCTCTCACAGATACGGAGCGCGGGGCTGGCCGCAATTACCCTTACCAATACAGCTTAACAACCTGGATTTATTTCGTTTGATTCCACCTCGTTCAATGTCATAATGGACAGGTTGCACTCCTCCATGCGTAAAAGGCTCTACAGTTTGCCACAGCACATTGGACACAAAGCTTCCATAATGGGCGAAGGAGAAGACGCAGACAAGGACACCCGGAGGAAGAGCATCAGGATGAAGCCTCTCCCGTCACCGACCTCTGGGGAGAGCTGCAAAGGCATCGGCGAGACCAAAAGTGGGGAGTCTGTGATCATGGAGACGGATATGGGGAGACCTATGAAAACAAGCTCGAATGGAGATTGCCGGAGGTTTCGAGGCAGCCTCTCATCCATCACAAGTCGGCACGTGCACGACTCGGACTCGGCCGAAGAGAGACGCCTCATAACCGAGGGGGACGTCACCCCGAGCGAAGAGAGCCCCCCTGGAGCTGTAGGGGACGGGCCGCCGGACCAGGGGGCGCAGGGGGCCAGCGGGGGCCCCCAAAACGATTCTCCAGAGCAGCAGTCAGGTTTCATAAAGTTGGATGGCATCGATCAAATTCTGCCGGACGACGAGAGATTGTATCAAGCTGGGTTCATACACAGACAGTTAGGAGCAATGCTTCAACCTGGGGTCAACAAGTTCTCCCTAAGGATGTTTGGGAGTGAGAAGGCTGTTGAGCGTGAGCAAGAGCGAGTTAAATCTGCCGGATTTTGGATAATTCACCCCTACAGTGATTTCAGGTACATTGAAAAAAAAACCCAACTCCTTTGCACATGTGTAGAACTTAACAATGTTGCACTGGACAGGCCCAGATGTTTGTTTCTCATTCAGGCCTCTGTGGTATTCATCAGGGCAGGAGTCACTCTTTCATTCCCAATTTCAGTTTACAACTACCAATACCACTAACACTTAGGAAAGTGATGTCTTACAAATCTGAATGAAAAAAACAACATTTTTTGTTGTTTGTTTTTACTAATTAATTCAGGTTAATCCATCCTTCAACTGGAATATTATAATTCCACAGTATATCTTAGTTTCTGTTCCTACACATATTAACAAGGAGGCCTGTAAGCACACTTTACTATTAACAGTCATAAAAGGCCTCCACCACACGAGCTTTACACAGTTGCACATTGTGTTTCTCATTACTCTCGTCTGCTGTTTTGAATGGGAACAGAATTACAATTTCTTTTTTAACAAAAGCTGATTGGAACAGCCAGCATAGTCATGTCTGCATAGCGTTGTCTAATCTAGTGACAAACTGTGCAGCAAACCTGAATAGGCAAGTCAGAGAAAAGCTCTGCAGATTTGTCTGTGTTCTGCGTGCCCTTGAGTTTGTTATTGGCTTTATGTTTCTTATTCATTACCATATGGAGGCTCATAAATGACAAGCAAGACTAACTTTAAGGTCCCCCGTCGCTTCCCTTTTCATTTTACATTGTCCGTTGTTAAACTGCACACAAAATGCTGTGCTATTTGCTGATATTCATGATTATGGAACAGGTCTAAGATTATTTGCTTTTGACTGAACAATATTCCTATGGCCTGCTTCCCCCCACCTATCCATTTAGGTTCATTTTGAAAATTAGAAACAACACTATCTATTTTGAGTATCTGAGCATATTAAAGCTCTTACGGTAAGTTAATGAACCTTAGCTTTTTTAATTGAGTCCTCATCTTAATAATTCAAGAAAAAAACACTGCATAAAAGGCCTCGTCGGCCATGGTATCTATCCAACCAATGTTTACGACACATCATTTAAATCTCAAAGGCATCGTGGAATTGCCGTTAGAGGATATAGATCAAAACCGTCATTGTCTCACACGCTGCTGCGTTTCTCCTTTTCTTCTGTCACGCTGGACGTGGTGAAGGCTGCAGCGTGTTTGACTGGGATGACTTAACGACATGCTACACAGAAACGTGATATCTGAAGCCTTTTTTGTTGTTGTTGCTTAAGAACAAGGTCCAACTTCTAAAGGCATCTGAGTTTCTGGTATGAGTTGCTCATAGACCGGTGGCCTAAGTGGAAAAGTCTTGATAAGCTTCTTCGGTGTATAGTAAGTACATACTTCAAGAACAACCTTGCTTGCTAATTACTTTTACCAAATCAGCACATAACTGAGACATATCAGATGTATGGCAGAGGTTTAAGTTTTTTGTTATGCTGCTCCCAGCTGGTGGTGTTACTTTGACCTGATTTATTCTCTTACTCACCCACTTAAATGTCATGAGAAAGGGTGATTTGGGGCTCGAGGAGACTTTCCCTAATACTGAAAGGTCAGAAATTTGGCACTGCCCATTGGATTTGTCTTTGAGCGCTATTCTGAAAAAAAGACTTCTGGACATTTTTATCCAAATAGATGTTTGTGAGTGTTTCTTAGTCATTTGCCTAAACAAGTATGAAACAATTATTGTAAAATGTACTTTTACAAGACGTATCTTAAAATGAGTTGGCTATCCATTTGTTTGGACTCAAAGGTTGGGTACCATATATTAACATAATTAACTTTTTGGGAGCTGTCAATGCTATATTTGTAGTCACCCAACTCTACAGTTACAACCACTGATGTGACAGTCAATAAAAGGGTAGAAATTGAGCACTTAACTCTGTGATCCTCTGAGTAAAATAAGATAAACAAAGCAGGCAAAAATTCCATTTCCATATTACTCACATATGTAAAGTGATGGCAGTCTAACAGAAGGAAGTATTGACATTATTAAAAGAAAGGATTATAATGGGAGACAAAGAAAAAATAGCATATCCTATCAGAGTGTAATAGCATGTGTTATATTTTTGACAAAATGAAAGAGAAGCGGAGACTCAGCCGCTTACATCTCTCAAAATCAGGATCAGAGACTGGAAAAGAGGACTGTAATTAACGTGCGCAAAAAGATGAGTGGGACTTTTTAAGGGACCCAAAAATGAGAAAGGTCCTTATGAATAAGTTTTATTCCCATGTCTGCATTAAAGCTCGGGCACTATAAACTCAAATTAGAGTGTCACAAGGAATCACAGACTCATTGCTGTGCCGGAATCCATGAAAATCTCCTCTTGTCAAGTTTTGCATTATGCTAAGAAGCAGGGGAGGGGCAATATCTCGCAAGGGGGGCAAATTAAAAATGGCATCATAATCCAATCTGCAGCCTCGTTTCCAGATCCAAAGCTGAGCAGCCTCCTCCGACTCTGAACAGACAGCACCCTGCGAGCAAACATGGTCAGTTTATCCATAGCATGCCTTAAAGAGAAAACTAGCACAGCATAACTGGCTGACAGAAACATGTTTGGATTATTTTAAATCAGTAGAATTATTACCATCCTAAAGCCCCAGATGAGGAGGGGATTGTTGAACAGCACACGATCGGTGCTGAGATTCCTGCCCCCACCATTCTTTTCGCCACTTTTTTTAAATTCTTCGACTTTACTTGTGGCAGATGTGAAAATGTGTGCAATAAGCCGTGCCGAGACCCTTAAATGCTGCTTGTGCCCCGTCCTGTTTGACTTGGATAGAGAATTTCACTGCTTGATTGGCAGAATGATACCCCTCTCACAGAATGGATTCAACATCTTCACATGATGAAAAGCAGGTGATTATTATTTTCCCTACCTGTTTGCACAAAGCCCTTTGAGTGGATTATGTCAAAGCAACAGCTTTGTGCAGAATTCTAGACAAATGACGGGGTGCAATATTAGGATTCAGCTCTCTGATCGTGAAGAGCCTTTTAATTATCGTGCGATTCAGAGCCCGGAGGACACATCTGTTGAAAAGTCCTCCAAATTTCCCAGGAGAGATAGAAGACAAGATATCGCACGTTAAAACTTTCTTTTTTCTTTCTTTCCAGTAAAGGCTCTATTAAGATTTACAACTGTGTTGCAAACACTATTAGAGAAGGGGTCAGCTGTCCTACTCTATCCGTCAATCAGTTAAATCCCTTTGCAGCACAGAGATGAATCCTCCCATCCTTACTGCAAAGTCTACTTTTGCAGCATTCTTTTATTGCGCCCATACATCCATTTCAGTGTCCCGAAAGACATTTACCTTGATGGCAGAATGAATAAATCCTCTGGACGGACATCTTTCAATTTTCCTTGGCTATTTGTGTTTTTAATTTATGGACATTGCTTTAAGAAAAGTAGGGAAAAAAGGTAGTTGTAGTTACCAAAGTGCATCTTAAAGCTTCAATGTGACAAGTATGAAGCATAATGTGAATGAAATGAAAAGGTCCTCAGTGTTGTTGGTGCCATTTATTCTTTTCCAAACCTTAAAATGTGACACTTTCATCCTCACATTAAGGCTATTCAGAAGTCACAGCATTTTGATGTCCTCCAGAAAAACAACGTTTCTCACATTGTTTGAGAAGATTCGTTGAGAAATGTTGATCATTTTCATTGTCAGTACTCTCTTGATTAAACCTTAGCTGTGGCTGTTGGTGTCCCCGTCAAGTATTATCAGCTACTGAAAGCTATTTTTTGTTGAGGAAGTTGTACTGTAACTGTATGAAACTGTGGACGTACAGTGTGTCGGTTTGTAATATGTTGGTGGATGAGTGGTATCAGCATGCACTATGTCAGTCAGGTTGATTACAGTTCATTTGATGATACATATTGCCATTGATTTGTTTGGTCCTCAAAGGGTATCCAGCTTTTCATTGATGGAAAAACATGTGTCCACAACTAGAGTGACTCCTTTTCTTATGATTGGGTGGATGGACTCAGAGTCTGAGTGAATTAAAGAAAGGTCACCACGAGGTTATTGTGAGGAGGGCTCTACATTCTGAGCTCCTTTTTTCTGTTTATAAAATCACAAGGGATATCTATTTTCTTTTGGCGTGAAATACAAGTTCAATACAAGCTCCAAATGCACACACGGAGTCCTGACAGCAGGCTTGTTGAGACGGTACAGAGTAAGTGACGCCCTTTCCTTTCCAGCTTCCATTAAGTAATTCCTTCTTTAATGTAGAGAGGGTAAAACACAAGGATTACAGATGATATGACGGGGTCTGAAAGTGGGGGAGTCAAAATAGGCTTCTGTGCTCATCCACCAATATCAGGAGCCAAGAGATTATTACAGCACAATTTATTTAATGAGGGAGCCCAGGGAGGATGTGCATGGCTGAAGGGTGGAAGGTTTCCTGTCGCAGGGGCATTTTGATTGAATGGCAGCCAGTGACCGCCAGGCTCACTCACGTGGGAGTGTGACATTGGCAAACATCATCTTAACTTGAAATGATTCATTTGTCTTCTTATCTCTCATCTTTGCATCGTCTGTATTTCATCGGCTTTTTTCTTTCTATGCCCGATTTTTAATTGAATCCTGTTTTATTTGTCAAGCAGCGATCCCCGTTTAACCTTGTTAAAGATAATTACCTCCAGGTAAGTATCATTCGACTGATTAGACAATGGAAATGAGGAAACCTACTCCCAAGTATTTTCCGTTAAGGGATATATGTCACCCAGCTGGTCTTCCTTATCTATTTTGGTCACCTGACAAATGTGATGTTTTCTGTGC